CTCTCTCTCTCCCTCCCTCCCTCCCTCCCTCCCTCCTGCCAAGTTCCAGGTCAGTCCACATCCACCATGGTCAGTGGCTGGCCAACTGCACATGCAATAGTTGTTTGCAAGCTGGATTGGATAATGCCTGTAAGCCACTGCCTAGCTCCACTTCTTAAAAGGTAACTCATGGTTTGCTCATTTAGTCTCCAATATTTCATATCATTTTATTAGGACAATCTGGCATCTAATATAGAATCCTAAAAACCTTAAGAAGATATAACACTTAAAAATGCTAGCAGTGTCTATAACTGAGAGAGAGAGAGAGAGAGAGAGAGAGAGAGGATAGAACATATAACTAGAAATGTTTTTCTAGGTTGGACTGAAAATAACTTTTGTTTTTCTTTCATTTTGGCTCATTTGGGAAATTAATGAATGGAAAGAAAAAATTAGCTTTAACCAAACAATTCTAAAGAATTTCAAAACTTCAAAACTTAAAGTTTATGAATAGATTTGACTCATTTAGCACCACAAGTTATCAAAATATTAATAGTCAATTTTCCACTTAAACTGTTGAGCTGTTCAGAATTCTTCACATCAAAACTCTAAAAAAAATGCTCTGCCACAAAAGCAAATCATTTAATATGCTAAAATTAAATCAATTTTCACTACTGAATATTACCATTAGGACAGATATTAAATAGAAATGCTCTTATGGAAGGGCTTCCATTTCTCAACCAGAATAATACTAATAATAATAATAATGAGTTCTTCCTCTGTGTGACTTTTGCACTTTTGTAAAATTGTACCTTCATATCCTGCACTATCACATTGTACTGCCATTTTTTGCTTACAGATCTCTTTTTCTAGGTGTTCCCTGAGTAAAGGGACTAGAAGAGTATGGACACTGGGGGCTCACAGAACTAGGTTCTATTCCAAGTTCAACTCCTTACTGAGTTTGCAAGGGCAAGTTATCTATATTCTCTAAAGGTTGAGTGTTTCATCTAGAGATCATAATAAATACTTGTCTCATAGGGCTGTTGGAGATTAAATGCAATAATATGTGTAAAATTATGTGTCCCGAATAGAGCAAGATTGATAGTGAAGATGAAGCCTTTATATCCCCCTCCCCAATGCCTAGCACAATTCAACACTTTTTTTTTTAATTGACTTGAACTTCCCCACACTGTCTGCCTTATGAAGACTTACATTTCTTAGAGGAGATGATATTTGAGCAAAATCTACTATGATGCCTTTACCTAATCACTGCTTGGAGACCCCATAGTGCTTTGTGCATGCCTCTATTTGCTCTTGTCCCACCAGCCTATCATACTTGTTCATGCTGCCTCTGAAGCTTGCAGCTTGCTACATGAGGAACAATAAAATCAGTCTTTCAGAAAACAGTGAGCTACTTTTTAATTTGCGTTTCTAGAATCAGGCACAAGGTAAGACAACATTAACTGTTTATCCCTGGGCCAAGCTGAAGGCACCCATGATCACTAACTAAACCCAAAGGGAGCATGTGCATTCCAAAGGAAGGAGACCAGGGTTCAGACCAGATCCTCTCTTTTCTTTTTTTTTTAATATGTTTCAGAGAAAGGAAGGGGGAGGGAAAGAGAGAAATATCAACGATGAGAGAGAATCATCAATAGGCTGCCTCCGTACACTCCCTATTGGGGATTGAGCCCACAACCCGGGCATGTGCCCTGACCAGGAATTGAACCGTGACCTCCAGGTTCAAGAGTCAATGCTCAAACACTGAGTCACCCTGGCCTGGCCATACCCAGATCCTTTCCTAACCTTCAAGGCTCCACTCAAATCCCGCCCCAACACGAAGCACTTATCCTAAGGATACTGTAAATTAAACACAGACATTCTTGGTTGAGGGGTGTAGTACTGTCTCCTCAGACACCCTGTGAGCTCTGTGAAGAAGGGATTAACTAATTATAAATTATTTCACACAGAACAAGGATATATAATAGACAGGAAACAAATATTTGATTGCTTAATCTAGTTCTGCTTTCCAATGTGCTCAGAGTACTGCTGCAGAATTATCTAATTAATCCTAACCTGCTGAGAAGAAAGGCATACTGGATCTGCAAAGACTGAAGCCAAGTTCCAGCACCCTCCGTGCATGGTGTGAATGAGCAAAGGGTGTTCCTGCCCACCCTCAACGGTGCCTCTCTTTGGCCAGCTCTCAATTTTTTGAACTAATGGCTTAGCACACAAAAATTAGCATTTTACACAAACCAAAAACGAATGGCCAACCAAGTCTTCATGGCATTGTTAACCAACAGTAAACTCTATTTGGAGTTACAGTTCCTCTAATTACATGGACTGTGAAGTGGTCCCAAGTCTCCCGGAAAGAGGATGATGGGATCTACTATCTCCCCTGTGATAAACCTGCACGGAAATAATTAGATCCTGTGCAACTGAGAGCTAACTATTCTCATTAAGAATAGCTACAGCCTGACGTTTTCAAAGAGTACTAGCTAGACACCTCTTTCCTTCACACATTCTTCTCTTCTCCCTTTTTCATAGTAAGGATTTTCAGGGATAAGAATAATAATAATAAGCCTCCACACTCATATATTTTTTAACTCTTCAAATAGGCATCATACCTATTTGATACTTGCAGTCACCCTCAAGGCAGTTAGAGAAGATAAGATAGACCATCTCACTTTACATTAGCACAAAGGATCAGAGTGGCTGGTCCAAGGTCCCCACCAATGAACAGCAGCAGGGGGATCACATCCCAACCCTTCCTCCCCATCCTAGGTGTCATTTCACCACACGCATACCTCCGACACACTGCAGGGTCGGTTCCAGACCACAGCATTAAAGCAAAGGTAGCAATAAAGCAAGTCAGGTTAAATTTTTGGTTTCCCGGTGCATATAAGAATTCTTCATTCTCTACTGTAGTCTTTTAAGTGTGCAAAAATATTATGCCTAATAAAAACAATGTACAGGACTGAATTAAAAATATTTATTGCTAAAAAGTGCTAACCATCATCTGAGCCTTCCATGCGTCATATTCCTTTTCCTGGTAGAGGATTTTACATTTAATTTATTTTAAAAAACAACAACAACAATGCAGTATCTGCAAAGCGCAATAACAAAGTGCAATACAATGAAGTGTGCCTGTGCACTGCTGACCAATAGGCTTCAGTGTTGTTCCTCAGAACCTTCCTACACCCTGGCCGGCAAGACCTGCGGCAAGAAACTACTCCTAAGGAGAGCGCGCTGGGTTTCTTCAGAAAAGACGAGGTGTCCCTGCAAAAAAGCGCTGCCGTTCAAATCCCTGGTCTTAACCAATGTGTTTCGCCATATTGAAGGCAGGTTTCCAACCAAAATGGTTGACTGGGAGCCAAATGTGGTGTTCTAAACTTTGTTCATGCTGTCAGTGTGACATATGAAAGAAATATGAATAAAGTGACAAGATGCAAACAAAGCTAGTGACTGGTGTGAGCTACACAGACAGGGTGTTAGCCCCACATGCACTGCAACTGGGTCAAGTTAACACCTCTTCTCCCCCTGCATATGTGGTGTGGGAAAGCTATTCATAAGATGTTTTTAAATATTTAGGACCAAATAAATCAATATTGTTGGGAAACACGAACTCTGACCAGAACTCGTTTACTCGCCCTAGTCCCATGTGAACAACACAACCAAGAATATCAGGATGATCCAAGACCAGGATGCCACAGATGTTCAGCAGTCCCGCCCAGAATGCCCACCAGGCCTGCTTTCAGCTCCACACTGGCCAGAGACCCGGCGGGGACAGTACGATGGCAGGAGCTCCAAAGAGTGACTTTGTGGATAGTACTTAGTACCAGTGTAACAGAAATGGGCCTTCCAGACATTACCTGACTCTGCAGCTCACTTTGCTGCTTCAGGCGGAGATTTTCAGGTGTATCTGCCACAGTAGTGAAGGACTGCTTCGGGTAGTGTCTGCGGAGACATTTTTTTAAAGAACATAATTAAAATACTATGACACCAAACAATGCTTTCACACCCAATGTTTCATGCTTCCCTCTGTCCCGATGGGAAGAGGTGCCGCTCCTCTTAGCTAAGGTCATCTCTGTATAATGATTCTGGATCCCACCCCCTCCTCCATTCTCAGGACCCTCTATCACCCATTTATTCCTATTATCTCCCCAAATTTCAGCCTCGGCTTCTCTATGCTCTTAACTACTTGCCATCAGCAACCAAGTATGCTCATTCTGGATCCCACCCCCTCCTCCATTCTCAGGACCCCCTATCACCCATTTATTCCTACTATCTCCCCAAATTTCAGCCTCAGCTTCTCTATGCCCCCTCCCTGGCCCCTCTCCTTGGTGATGTCCATCCTGTGGTCTCTCAAAAGTCCACTCTATGGCTCACTGTTTCAAACTACTTGCCATCAGCTCTTAACTACTTGCCATCAGCAACCAGGTATGCTCAAGGCTCTCCTACCTTTTACTGTCCCTCCATCCACCCCCACATACCATTCTAGCATGTGATGGCTAGAATCTATTCTCGCCTTCAACCAAACTTCGTTAAAAATAAGCCTCAACTCACCGTCCCTGCTCATCTCCTCTCCATCTCTCTCCCCAACTCTATGCATTCTGGCTTCTAGCTTCTGTTTCCAGAAGTTTCTCTGGTCACAGTTATAATGACTTCCTGTGGACACACCCAACAGACATCTTTTGGTCTTCCTCTTGTGTGGCTTTCCCTCCATCTGAAATGTCCTTTCGTGATTTTTATGTTACCACACACTCCTGACCTGGCTTCTCCCCATCTAGCTGTTCCTTCTCTGTCTCCTGTGGGCTTCTTTTTGTTGATCTCATTCGTTCCCACAGTTTTGGGCACCCCCTCTATAAGTGCTAATTACTCCCTTCAGATCCAATGGCATTTCCACTCGTGTATATCCCATGCCCACCACAAAACCAACCAGTCTGAAACGCAACTGTCCATCTTCCCACCCCACCCCAAGTCTTCCCCTGTATTCTCTCTTTCATTTATTAGTGCCCAAACACCCAAGCCGGAAACCTGAAGTAATCTTGACTCCTCACACATCCTATCAGTCAGTCACCAAGTCTATGGCTTCTATCTCCGAAATATGGCTCAATTACATTAACCTTTCTCCACCTCCACTGCATTTTTTTTTCATTATGGGCCACATTTACCTTCAGGTAACTACAACACTTGCCAATCTTGCCCTTCCAATCTGAAATGCCAGAACAAATGTTCCAAAATGTCTATCTGATTACATTATCCCTCTGGGTAACGCCTTTCACTGGCTCCCCATTGATCTGAGAATAAAGCCCAGCATCCTATCTTCCCCCATGATCAGGCCTCTGCAGACTTCAGACCCACCGTGCTCTGGCCATGGAGTTCACCCTTCTCTTTCCCACCTCCTTCCCCATATGCTGTTCCCCTGCCGTGAAACACTTATTCTCTCCCACCGCCTACCTGGCACACTCCTCCTTATCACGTAGGTCTCACCTTAGATCAGCAGTTCTCAACCTGTGGGTTGCGACCCCTTTGGGGGTCGAATGACCCTTTCACAAGGGTCGCCTGAGACCATCGGAAAACAACACATATATAATTACATATTGTTTTTGTGATTAATCACTATGCTTTAATTATGTTCAATTTGTAACAATGAAATTGGGGGTCACCACAACATGAGGAACTGTATTAAAGGGTCGCGGCATTAGGAAGGTTGAGAACCACTGCCTTAGATGCACTTGCTTCAGGAAGCCTTCCTGGTCCTTCCAAGATGCCTGGAATGTGCTTTCTTTCCCATTATACTCCTTAGCATATCCATCTGTACGTTCCTGCTGACACGTCTCTGTCTCACAACACAAGGAGAGTTCTGCGGCAGCAAGAACAGGCTGTCCTGCCCTTTGTCAGAACACACTCAGCACCTACCAAGTGTCTGGCTCATAGTATGACTTCAATAAATATTTAGGAAAAGAAGAAAAGAGAGAGGGAGGGAGGAAGCGTAGGGGGAGATGGGGAGATAACCATCAGCCAAAACCTGAGAGCACAGGTCAGGCTACAGCAAAGCTTCACCATGTCCTATCATATATGTAACACACATGGGCGCACACGCAAACACACAGGCCCTCCTGCTGGTGAAGTGAGGGCACTAACTGCCCGGTGCGGGTAAGGACACAACACTGATTCATGGCTGCCTCCCCCCACGCCCAGCTGGTACTCAGGGTCCCTCAGCTGCTGCGGCTCCATCACCACAAAAGCTGTGGAACTCAAGGCTGTTCTTCAAGGAGCCCCCTCCCTGGCCCCTCTCCTTGGTGATGTCCACCCTGTGGCCTCTCAAAAGTCCACTCTATGTCTCACTGTTTCAAACTCTGCTCTCCCAGTAGAAGGTTCTCTTCAGCATCCCTGATCCTGGCTTCCTATGAGAAGGTTCATGGAGTAACCGTTTGTCAATGCAAATAAACTCTGAACAACCTACCGAAAGTACACTAGCACTTCTGAAACAAGAACTAAACCTATTTTGCAGCCCTGTGGAGTCAGATGTGTGGTAGGAAAACGTACACGAATGCCTCATTTTGCCAGTGTTCTTCAGTAATGAAATGTCCTGCAAAAGTATACTTTCCAGATAACTGAAGTTAAAACCCCATAACTTACTGGAAGCACTTTAACTATTTTAATTAACATCCTTCAAAAAGCTTTACATAATTTTTCTGCCTTCTCAGAGCATAAACCAACCCAATTTGAATTTTATGACTCCTCGGGGTCATCTTAATAGATACGATCAGATGGTGATAGAAAGCAGCAGGGCTTTCAGAGTTCACAGGGCGGGGACGGCCTGAAGCGTACGTGATCACTGCGCTTCTCTAACTGTGGGACCGTCAAGAGATCATTTCTCACACACAGCCCTCTGCCATTCACATCTTCTTTTCTTTTGCTTTCTTTCTTCTAACCCAGACACTACTAGATAGTCAAGTTTGTTTCAAATGTTGGCAAAAACTAGAGCAGGTCTCTCCCTGAAGTCATAGACTCTGTGTCAGCCACACCCTGGGGGCTACTTCTGAGCTGTGCTGCACGCATGAAGCTGGACAGACAATGTCAGTATGTTCTGTAACATTTGCAAGTCAATGTCGGAAAGCTGAGTGTTACCGGACTTTCAAGTGTAGCAACTGTATACGGCTCTACTTTAAAGCTAAAATAATAGAAGCACTTTTAAAAAAATACATTCTGTAAAATAAAGTTTCACAGAGATTTTCAAGGGTCCACGACTGTTTCAATTTAAGAATTCACATATGTCTTTTAACTACTTTAAAGATTGCAATTAAAATCTACTTTCAAATTTGTTACAGAAAGTTTAGCCCATTGAAACCCTGCTGGACTGACTTGCAAGTTAGTCTGGAGGCAGACTTTGGAGGGACAACCTACTCCTGCCATTTATGTTTAATTAAAAAGTCTGTTTAAATTTTAAACAGAGACGGAAAAGTGAATGGGGAGGGGGAAGGGATATAATTTGCAACTGCTTTCTTGTGAGTACATGAATTTCCTTCCACACCAGGAAAAAATCATTCTATTTTGATGCTAGGGAAACCTCACTTACCACCCCTCCCTCTCATTTGGAAGTATCATTCCCATGAAAATAATCTAATTATTCTCATCGTTTGACATTACAATGAGAAAACCGATCGATCTGAACTTACAAAGTACATGCATATAAATAAAACACCACTTTTATATGCTATATATTGGCATTTAATACTAAGTTCTATTTGGAACGAGGTTTGCACTAAAAAAGAAAAATTTGAAACCTCCTGCTGCCTTTTAGAAGACACTCTGCTGTCCTGTGGCCAAAGCAGCAAACTTACTGACCTGCTGAGCAATTCCACTGAGAACGATAAACAGACAGCAACGCTTTGCACTTCTTTCCAATATGCTTTTCGATTCTAAAATTCAATGATTTTGTAATAGTGGGTTCACCCACATATAACGTAACTTCTCCAAAGAGGCAAAACAGAAAGAAATTATTGAAATTTTTATCTGGAAGAAAGCGTTCAGTTTAGTATCAATAACCAAAATAATAAATGCTGAGGGAAAGAAGGAATTCATATTCGAAACTACTAGGAGTCATAAGCACTATTAAAACCTGAGGCTTTGGAGATCCAAGTTATCTTCAGAGCTAGCGAAATTCAAGAGAATAAGATGTTGAAAAAAAATGCCTACCAGTCAAGGGAGAGTGGAATGGTCCCATGAATCAGAAACATAAAACTCAGAAGTAAGTGTGATTACAGAAATGGCAGCACACACTGCGTTAGCTTAAATAACATAATATCTGGAGAAACCTAATTAATTTTGCCAAACTGGATATAACTGAAAATCCTGGGTTTCTTACCATGATGCCCATGTAGTAATCTCTGTCTAGTTCAACAATATTCCGCTCTAAAGTCGTAGTCCCAACCCCCTCTCACCCACTACCTCACCTGCAAAAGAAACCCAGACACAGAAATAAACTGAGGTGCCAGTGGTCCCTCGTGGGATTGATACCTGGTTATTATTCAACAGAAAAAGAGTAAAAGGGGGACCAAAACATACAGGCATGCCATTTACACAGCTTTGCCAAAAATACTGCATTTAACATTCTCCAAGTCTATTCCCAGCTGACTGATGGGGGAAGGGAATGGACAAAGGCAGAGTAGACGCATGCCCAGTAGAGGTCTGAGTGACATGGGAATGTAAGTGCCCATCAATCACACCTGGAAACAGGTAATTGGCAGGGATGGGTATGGCCACTGCACGTGCATGAAACCTGAATATGTTAACTTCCAGACCAGGGGTGGGGAATCTTTTTCTGCCAAGGGCCACTTGTATATTTACTAGTATAACATCATTCGCGGGCCATACAAAATTATCAACTTAAAAATTAGCCTGCTATTATTTGGTTAAACATTTAATTAACTCACCCCTAATGCCTTGGC